AGATTCCCCATGACACGTGTGAGAACCCTAGAGAGAGATTTCATTTTCATTCATTACATTCATGTATAGTGATTGTACACAAAGCAAGATAGTTTGCAGTGTATATAATTCACACATCCTCGGTGTTATCAATACACGTTTTCAATGGTGTCACAATGGATAAGGTCAGAGTTGACACTGTTGCACAATAACGTATAAAGAATACATTAGATAGTAAATAACACAGCAGACAAAACACTCCAGACTATATAGACATTGCCTGGCACTAATACGTGTAATGAATATTCAACATCCGCACGGCAGAAGCAGAACACATTAAATGAACGTCCTTGTGTTACTGAATACATAAAGACCGTATTTTTCATAATCAGTTCGTGTAAGTTACATTCTCCTTCCAACCTCGCCTGCACCCAATACGCCTGTATAAACACCAATCAAACTCATTAAACGTTTGTTTTAACATACACCCTATATTGTTTCACCCATACTTGGCTGTCGGTGTTGTTGTTCCTCTCGAACTTTTGCTTGTGTTCAAACAGAAAGTGAACTCACCTCTGATATCTATATAAGAGTTCATAAGACAAACAGACGAAAACAAATAACTTCTCTAAATTTGTCATAATCACAAAACTCATAGGCTGAACCTTCTTTTTAAAATCTACAAAATACGCACTGTATTGACCTGTATTCCACTGTTATTCCGCTTGTTATTCGACACACTAATGTCAATGACGCCTCATACTTGCTACGAAATAAGTGTATGCTTTGATATATTCTATCTACAGAAGAAAATTGTGTTATTTATCGCAGAGGAAATTCCGGGTTCATCGCCCAGCGTGAGAAGTACTAACGAATAACCACCCACCATAACTTTTGTCAATATGTCAATACATACCCAATAAACCAAAGCCCAATTAACATATCATTGTGGATCACTCTGTATGCATATAGATTATAGTGAGGTAGTCTTAGTGAATATCATATTCTGGAGTCATGTCATGAATTTGTTTTTGCGTATCTGTTGACCGACTTAATTAGCTGATTACGAGCGAATTGCTGTGTTATGTCTGTCATCGTTTAGGCCTATTTTAAGTTTTGGACGGAACTTGGCTCAGTGATTTGGAACTAATTACGAGATAACCGTCACTATTCTGACTACGATTTCTGACAGTTGGTATCCGTAGTTATTAATGTAGTGAACGATTAATCAAAAGATATGACGTATTCAGTACTTAGTGTGATTGGCTTTATGATTGAAAGTTACGCCCTAGAGTTGTTTTACTGTTTTGTAATTGGTTAGAGTTTTGAAAATGAATAAAGAGAGTTTGAGTTGGTCTTGAAGAGTACACCAAGGTAGACGCAGTCGAGAGTCCAGTCCTGGGGCGAGCCTTGAGGCAGTCCAGTCTTGGGCGAGTCTTGGTTCAGCCTTGCGATAGTCTTGGGGATTTTTTCCCAGGGCGCTGTGTCTTATAGAGTGCTCGATTGACCGACTAAGACGAGAGCTGAAACGTATTTCGTTGTGTGTGTCTTATTTGACTGTAAAGTTAAAGTGACTTCCCCGATCCCGTACCTCAAAGGGACGCGATAGAGAGACGAGACGAGATTCCCCCCTGGCACGTGTGAAGAACCCCGGAGAGAAGAGTTTCCCCGTGATAGTCAACGAAGTGTTATCTGATCAACTGCAGACGAGGACATTATTTTGTTCTTGTTCTGTGTTGAATCGCTCCCCTTCCTGCTGCTTTTAACTTTTAACTTAGTAGTAAAAACAGTGTTCGCCTATCTAGAATTGTCATTAATTAAAATAAGTCAGTAATTTTCTGGAATTGACGCTGACGATTGTCTCTAATTGTTAACATGGGTTTCCGAAAACGAAACAGTTACACATACAGGTGAAGCGTATTTGATAGTATTCTTAGTCTGTCGGATACGAGGTAAGCCGACTACTCGTCTGCTAAGTTTTTTAGCGACACTTACTAATCGAAAAGATTTGCGTGGGGAAATGGCTATAACATTTTTCAGCAGGGGTGACCTTAAATTGTGGGTTAATCCTTCTGTCGGCCGTTAATATGCACTAGCGAGAGTTAATCGAGTTGACATTTTAGCGAGACTTATTCAAGGATGCGTACGACACTTACTCAGTGTTATATCAAATATGATGATCTATATGCATACAACGCGATTCACAATAATACATGTGTTGGTTCACGAGGATATGTATAACGTATCCGCAATGATACAGAGAGTCGAAAATGATGGTCGGTGGTTATCCGTTACTAGTTTTCACGCTGGGCGATGAACCCGGAACTTCCTGTGCAATTTCGTAGCAATTATCATTGACATTTGTGGATTGAATGGAAAGCGGATCTACTTAATATATAGTGCGTATTATGGAGAAAAACTGTTCAACCTGTCACAGACGTCGGTAACTAAACAGCTGTGTAATTATGAAAAAATCGAAGGAGTTTATTGTTCTCTGTTTGACTTATCAAATCCTTGCTATCAGAGGTAAGTACAATTGAATGTCGAATAGGAAAACAACAACACCACTGGCAAATGATAGCACGATATAGAATATGTTATCACTGGAGTTTGAAAACTGTTACATAAGCTCATTTTGTCGCTGCTTGGAATGTAATACTGATTTAGTTACGTACCGACTGTGAAAAATATGGTCTTTGTATATTCAGCAGTCAGTGCCAGCCAGTGTATATATAATTTCAACCCCTATCATTGAAATCGTGCATTAATAACGATCGGAATGTGTGACCTCTAGACCATGCATTCTATTATGCTCTGTGTAAATCACGATACAATGTACGAGTGTATAACTCCTACCTTCAAGGGTTCTACTCATTATCAGCCTTACATTCACACTAAACTATTGATGACAAAAATTAACGTACTTGGTGAGGGTGGGAATATTGTGTGCGAGGACACCTCACGTCTGTAAAACTGTCATGAATTTATTTCCATGTGTCTTGATACAGACTTGATAGCTGGTTTCTAGTGCAGTGCTGGTTGATATCATTCAACACTCTCCCATAACCTGTTATCATTCGGCTTATACGACGTACCAGGCGGTAGTCGAGTCAGTGATTGGAACTAATTACGATATAAACTTTGCTTACAGATCGTTATTCCTGACAGTTTTGTATGTGTACTCTCTTAATGTACAGGACAATTAATCAATTATATATGACGTGTTAAGTACTTCGGTGATTGGCTACATGCGAACGGAATGTGTGGAGGCCACGCCTCGAGCTCTTAAACTTCCATGTGATAGGTTAAAGTTTTGAGAAGTGAATAAAGCTAGTCTTGGGTCAGTCTTGGGGTGTGCTCGGTGAGGCGAGCCAGCCTTGGCGAGCTCTCCACGTGGCGTTGAGACTAAGAGGTTGACAGGATTCCATCTCTGTGTTTTGTACTTGCTTGGTCGAACGGGTTGCGGACGTATCGATCCCCGGTTACCAGAGATAACGCTAATAAGACGAAATTTAAACCATTATACAACATTCAGTCGCCGTCCTGGCTGATGGTCCAAGTTGTACTACCACAACATTCTTTTATTTATTAGTCCTGGGTTATCAAATCAAAACACATTGTTTAAGACAGAGTGAGCATACTGTTAAATCCTGCGAACAAACATTCCTTCTATCAATACACTGAATAATTAATAGTTATTATAACATTAAAATAATAATCACAAATGAACCATTATGGAAGAACGTGTGTTTTACAATTTCCAGGTGACAATGGGAAAACGGAACTGTGTCGTTATTTTTAATGAGTTGTTTTAGATTTGTTATTCATAAAAGGGAGGTATGAATATTTGTTATTGGCATATTCCCACTAAAGCACTGCCACTGGCGACGCTGGTAGTTCGCAAATGTTTACAGATTCTCACGTATAATAATTTCGCCTTTTTGTTTAACACATTATAGGTGAATTATGTGTCACCGATTGAAAATACAAACCTGAACCCAACATTTATATAAATATTTCTATAAATATACACTTCATCCGCCCTAAATCTCTTTTCTTTTTTTACCTACAGGTGAGAATATTCGACTTGTAGATGGCGAAACCCCATTTGAAGGTCGTGTAGAAGTTTTACTTAATGGTACATGGACTGCAATTTGTAACGATGGGCTCGATTTCGAAGACGCGGAAGTCACGTGCAAAAGTTTAGGTAAAGAGTGAAAAACATTGTGTTTTTTATTTCGTTATCAGATTTTCATCTAACAATTTGACAAGTTGCCTTCCCTGTATTTTTTCAACATATCTTATCAATTATATTATTGTAATTGTAAATTGTAGGTTTTCCTGGTGCGATGCAAATGGGAAGCTTTCATGATGGCAGCCTTGCATTGATAAGTAACGTTGACTGTTTGGGAAATGAGAGCACTATACTGAGTTGTTCATACTCTGTGAATGTCGAATCGCCATGTACAACAAACCATGCTAGTGTTTACTGTGTTTGTAAGCATGTCTTTTTATGTTCAGCCACGTCTACCAAACACCATTTCTGTGATGTATTATGCATTTAGTATTCAACTAGTTTATGTACCCGAAATTGTTGTTTCTGTATTTGGGGATATTTTATTCTCCAGCCAAATAGGTTTTCATGTGGTAATTTAGATTCAAAAATGCATGATGTTTCCAGCCCCGTTCGGAACCACCAAATCTGGTCACGGCGACCTTTCTTTCCCGACGACGTCGATTATTTATTTCTGATTAATATGTTTCTATAAATATAATATATTTGAAAATGATGTAACACTCTGACGTACGACTCGTCCACAACATTCTCACAAACCGCCCACATAGTTATGACCTGGCCTTGTCTTATCTTGCCAACTTATCTTATCTTGAATGTTATCTTGTCTCATTTTATTTAGATCCGGGCTATGCCGGGTGTTTTAGTGACAATGGCAGACATCCCTTATATGGCTCGAAAAGTTCACCGAAAACAATAATAAGTGGATGTATCAATCACTGCAAATCAAAGTCATATGCTTCTCTAAGGAATAGTCAGGAATGTCGTTGTAGTGATGACCTCCCAGGCGATGAATTTCAGTTGGTATCCAATGAGTACTGTAGTTCACCTTGTACAAAAGAACCCACTGATATTTGTGGTGGCCCGGATGCAAGTTCCGTGTACAATAGTGAGTATATTACACAGAGTGTTGTATATCTTACTAATTGATCAAATGTGGGCGGTTGTCCTATAGCGAAATGGGCAATTTTACAAACGTTAGGAGAAATAATGTTCTACTGTCCAAAACAGAACTTGTTCTGTGTCTAAATTGGATTCACACTAGTCTTTTTTAGAATGTCTCTCGTCTTTGTCCGATATTTGCTAAATAATCGAGTCACGAATGTGCATGTTAATACAACCAGCCAGGAGGGAGTGTCATTCAGTGCCGAAAATAAACAATAATCGTATCTGATTGTAACTGCAAAAGTCAACACTATGGCTGACACATGTCGATCAGAAAGTGGTCTTGAAAACGGGAAATTAAAATTCAAAACAGTCACTATAACATGATCGCAGGGAACACATTCATTATTCCTGTTTATTCCTACGCTCTCAGTTTACACAGATATATATTCGAATCTGACGGAATTCTCATCTAAAACTGCGTACGAATACCCGTATAGCCGCACACATACATATGAGTTCTCTCGACTGATTTGGGATAAGTATGAATGACAATTATCAGTGAACCTGTGCTAAATATCTAATAATAACCGAATTGTTTATGCTAAGCTGCTATAGGTCGATGTGGTGGCTCATTCACTGATCCTGAGGGCTGGATATTTAGTCAAAACTTTCCTTTCAACTATTGGAAACGCCGAAAATGTCTGTGGACAGTACAGCAACCTTCAAACTTTGTAATATCAGTCACCCTGCGAATGTTGAATCTTAGTGAGGGCGACCAAGTACTATTTTATAACATCAGTGGACAACCTAACAACCAACCCGTCATACTATCCAACCACAACAGTACCTTAAACATTGGAGTTGTATCACATGACATTGGGATCACATCTAATAATACATTATTGATGAGATTTACATCAGATGAAGATGGGAGATCACTTGGATTTGTTGTGTTCTATGAAGGTAAAGCACTTTGAAATATACTATCGTTTCAGGGAAAGCTAATCATTAAATAATAAGGGTTCATCCGCTCACAATCAATCGTTATTATCAAAAGACAAAATGTTGTTAAATATCAAAACAACATTAATAATTTGCTTTAACACCAATCTGTTTATCAACTTTTCCAATCGATTCGCCATAAATTAAAAACAAAGTAAATTTTCAAGTATATCCCACTCGTACATCCAACAGTAGACGTCGTAAAGGGAAATTATAATAACAAGACATCTGTACTATGCAGCTTTACAGACAAATCTATGCGATAGTTTCCCATGCAGAAATGAAGGGACGTGTTCCTCGGTTCCGGGACGATTTATATGTCGGTGTGTAGATGGATGGGGAGGTACTACGTGTGAAGATAGAGTGAACCCATGTCAAAGTAACCCTTGTCTAAATGATCGGACATGTCAATGGAGTGATGGTGATATGTCATACCGCTGTGATTGCCCGGATGACAGAATAGGTCAGCATTGTGAAAGAGGTACTGATTAGTTCTTTTACTCGGAAAAATTACTGGCCATGTCAAAGACACAGTAACGTTATTTATTGTACACTGTCAGCACGATTTATTGTTTTTAAATGTAAATGAATAAATTCAAACCTTTATGTGCATTTTTTTTGTAGATTCAGTTATACCAACATCTAGTACAAGGACAACAGTACATTTCACTATCAGCGCTCGATCTGAAAATGACAATGATGACAAGAAATCAATATCTATCGGTAAGTTTTGCTTGAGAAATATTTTACAAATAGTAATTGTATGCAGGCGATCTTCATACTAAAAACGAATTGACTATTTCTTATTGTAAGGTTGTTATTACACATTTTAGGTGGCGCCGTTGGTGGTGGGGTTGCTGTGACAGTAGTAGTGGTCATATTGATTATCTTTGTTGCAGTCGTTCTTCATACTAAAAACGAATTGACTATTTCTTATTGTAAGGTTGTTATTACACATTTTAGGTGGCGCCGTTGGTGGTGGGGTTGCTGTGACAGTAGTAGTGGTCATATTGATTATCTTTGTTGCAGGCGATCTTCATACTAAAAACGAATTGACTATTTCTTATTGTAAGGTTGTTATTACACATTTTAGGTGGCGCCGTTGGTGGTGGGGTTGCTGTGACAGTAGTAGTGGTCATATTGATTATCTTGGTTGCAGTCGTTCTTCGAACAAAGAAGTAAGCTATATTAAATCTATTAAATTTAATGATATATTTCACTCAAAGAACAAACTGATTTGGATGTTACGTCACATACTATACACCTACTGTGTCATACATTTATCAAGAATATCGTTTAAGAGTCGCATGTGAGGAATTCCTTGGTTCAGATCAAATAATACATATGAATCCAAGTATTTGTATAATTGCACGGAATAAATTGACAAAAAGTAATGCAAAGATTTTGATGTTACGTCACATGGTTATTTGAATGTATTGTAAGTCACATACTATAACAATGCATTTAACTCAATTGTTTCAGGCTCAAACCCAAACACTCACAAGGTGGGTATACTGCAGACGGAATCGCGCATGGCAATGACGATATTCAAATGAATGAAGATGAAGTTTACTATTCCGGAATTGACGGAGTAATTGAAAACAAACACTGTAATGTGGATAGGGATGCCAGAGGGATTGAATATGTAGTGTCTGAATCACATATATCGACGATTGAATCAGGCGATGTTAACCACTTTGACCACTCGGTAGATGATAAACGTCAAATACAAAACACGAAGGAGGGGTTGGTGGATAACTTAATTTACGATTCGGTAGAGAACACAATCGAAACGCCGCGTGTAGAATATGCTGAAGAGGGATTCATAGATAACAGCATTTACGATTTCGGAGAGGGTACACTTGAAACACCACGTGTGGACACTGCTGAAGAGGGATTCGTGGATAACAATATTTACGATTTCGGAGACAGTACACTGGAAGCAACACGAGTAAAGACTGTTGAACATGAAGACGAGATAGATAGCCACACAACAGGCTCACAGAAAATGAAAACTCCTGGGAATGTATCTGTAGTACCCCGGGTTCACGCAATGGGGAATAATGAAAGGTGTACCTATAATATTTTAAAGAACGGTTTAATTGATAGTGAAAGTCACCGCAATGCGGCAGATGATACAGATGGCTTTGTTGATAATATCGTATATGAATCATTAGATGGTACATGTGAGGTTATTGATAATAATTCTTACAAGTTACAGTGTAATGTGCACGGTGCACTAAGCGATCCCATAATTCCGAAACATGAGACTGGATTTGTTGCCAATTCACTATATGTGTCACTTGGTATGGACGAGGCAGATGCAGGAAATGACCAAAGTGCTATCACGGAAGAAAGTACATACGAGTCCGTCATATAGAACAGTAGCCTTTATCTTGTGTGACGTAACGAAGAATAACTTGCCCGAACACCATGTTACAATTACTAGAATTTTACACTCGTCAATTGCAAAACGAATTAGTAGTAATCACGAATTGAGCAATATAAGGACCAGTAAAGGATTATTTAGAAGCAAACGTATTTCCTTATTTGAAATCAAGATTAAATGATCATTTAAATCGCATAATCATCAACGCTGCTGCTGCTGATATTTATTATACCGTATATCACTAGTGGGAGTATAACACGAATAGTTGAACTATAAACCCATAACATATTGTCATCTTGTAAGTCAGCATAGTTACATTTGCAGTGAACCTTGTTTTATTATTAGTAGTGTGTTTGTTTTTCAAAACAATCTTAGAATGTGGAAAAATTATCACAAAGTTCCCATTCAAACAGGGAACCAAATATTATTGTAAGCCTCGTTGGAGAGCATGATTATTATTTCATTACAAAATGAATCTTGAAGAGTTTCCGCCAGGGACACATTTCAAATGTGCTGCCATTGATAACATGGTAACGAAAATCATTAACATTTGGAAATCATTATCATTTGGGAAAAACAATAAAGTCCTTTAACTCTTTCTTCATTGGCATAAATGAACGTGCCCAATTTATACCCCTGTGGTATTGTTTTCTCTAATTCTTGGGGAAAAACAAAAAAATAGTGGGACAAATAGAAAATCATTAATTTCAGAGAAACATGCTCACTATAATTAAATATTCTCTATTGCAATCTATTTCTTTTTTAAACCTCGAATCTGCACATGTGCACTATATCCATTCTAAATGATTTGATTGCTTATTTTCACTACTTTTAAGTGCGTTATTTTAAAACTATGTTTACCTAACCAGAGTTCTTCTAGCATAGAGATCGAGAACACTGAACCAACAATAATCCATATTAACAGGACAAAATAAATTCCCAATATTAGCAAATGCATCTCGTCCGTTCTGATCTCTCTCTTAAAATCTGAAAAGTATCAATAATTAAAATCCAGTGAGTAATGTCATTATTGTTTCATCATATCTTTAGGTTCATTTAGGTTAGTTTCGGTTTCCCCTTTTCCCTCAGAAAATGTATTAATCCGTAACAGACAGCATCAATAAAAACTTACATGACAAAATGTATGTCCCCGTATAACACCCAGTGTTTTATTTTGAAAAGATGTATTTTTGTGTGTTTACAATATACTTAATTGTCAGCAAATGTGTTTTATGTATAATATAATACACATGTTTTTAATTAATTCAAACAGTGTGTTTTAATGAAAAACATGAAAGTATTTCCAAGAATTAGTGTAGCCACATCTAAAACATAGCTTGGGCAGTGACTAGACGAATTATTTTATCATAACTGTTTAAAGTATTATGAATCTGATTGTTGCTATATACCCACAGTTTCAGACATTCACCAATTAGGTTTTCGTTTAAATGTCGTATTTGAGGATTTTGCCATTTTCCCAACCTTGCCCTGACAATGCATTAAATTTGTTTCCATATTGAATCGCTACCGATTTACTGTTGTGATGCGTGAAGACCGCTTCTAGAACTAGATTACAACTTAGTAAAAATGTTGCTAATGTGACAATATAACCGTAAATATATTGTATTTGTATAATCCTTTGGGTGGTAGTTACTCGCACCCAAAATCTAGGTGAGTACTCGCGGCCCGCCCGTCCGGGGTATAATCGCAGTCAATACATTGATCACAAAGTACATAGAACGAAAGGCGTATGCACATGAATAAAACACTGGAAAGCTTAGGGTGAGCGCACACAAGTGACAGCTGTGATGTATGCTTCTGCTGAAAAAAACAAACAAACATAATAGGATATATAAAATATCTGAACTTGTGAATCATGATATCAGATTTATTAAAGTGCACATTGTACTATGGACAATATATCTCTTCCACACACAGCTTCCTACTTCAATTGTTAATTGTCTACTTAAATATTCACGTACAAGTAATTATAATTATTATAGTACGTGGCCTATTTATGACGTAAATAACCACGTGAAAGATATATACAAAATACACATTTTTTGCAGAGCAAATTGTGGTATACAATGAGACCCATTTTTTGGCTACATTTCGCATTCATTGTAAAATTTTACCAAATGGAAACTTGGCATTATTATAATTCTTAATGAAAAAAGTACAGTTCATTACCATGTCCACATGTGCTTCCAATGTTTGAATATGTATATGCAGTCACACTTGTTTAGGTTCTGCATGCTTGCATGTGTGAATTGACTGGTTGACAAGAACAGATAATAGCAATGTTCGCTACTGTTGTTATTAAATACACATGTATGTGTTCATGTATAAAATCACTTATGGACAATGTTATAGCAAATCATCAGCGTGTTCATCAGTGAGAGACATTTGTATCACACATTTGATGCCAGTTGGCAAAACAGGAAACGCATGACGTCACAGTAGGATGACCTTTATCAACTCAAATAAACAAGATTATTGTAAGTTCTACATATTACTGAATGAACAAGATTTGGGGTAACTAGAACAATGAGAGAGAACTCGGACCAATAAATACAAGAATTATGTTTATTGCATAATTTAAAAAAACAAAACAACAAGGGTGTAAATTACTTAGTAGCATGAATGAATATACTGTATTTACTGTGAAATTAAAAAATAAATATGAATAATAATGGGACTTAATGCAGATTGAGGTATAACATTACAGGTATTGTGTAACCCTGTACATGTGAAAAAAAAACAAATTCCCAGCATGCATTAATATACAACATACATGAATGTGGTAAATTCTCATAGGCGTAATTAGCATAAGCATATAACATGCAAGTACCTGGTGTTTCTTGAATACATTGTGTATCTAAATCCATAAAACAATACCCAACATGCACTAGTATAGGACATACATGAATGTGGTAAATCCCCTAGGCGTAATTAGCATATAACATTATGCAAGTACCTGGTGTCTCTTGAATACATTGTGTATCTAAATCCATAAAACAACGCCTCAATGACCAATACTACTCAAAGAAAAGTGAAAATCAAAATCTTGCAAAAGATTTGGCGTACAAAATTAAATATATACATTCTTTTCCTGATTTAGCAGAATATTGAAAAAGCCACCAAGACATCAAACTTTTACCTCGCTCTTGAAATAAAAACAATCTTATTTTATACTTTTTTTAATTTAATAAAGTCTACTACAAGGCATGGGTATTATTAATACCAATCTGATTTTTTTATTTGTTGGTAATGCCAAAAGCCCATGCATGCGAAAACACAGGTATTTACTAGTTTTGAAAAAAATCTGTTGTCAATGTACTACCAAGATGTTGTTCTGAAATGGCAGAAATTCTAAACTTCTTTCATATTAAAATAGCCGTCATTTGGCCATCTTTAATCGGATCATCAATACCTGTGTGAAATAATGTATGATGTCAGAGATATGGCTCTGAGACTATTCTTCATTAATACAAAATGCTATTTTGAATCTGATCTGAAAAACAAAATTATGTGCATGCTGCTGGCATTGTAATGTTCAATGTATTTATATGTTAAGTTTGAACAAAATTAAAAAAATATGGAAAAAAAAGATTCGCAAATTTCTTTGCTTTCAAGTTGATGGAATAGCCGGTAAGTTTTTTGAATATTTAGTGAATAAAGCATTAGCACAAATAAAATCCTAACCCAAGTGTAGACTACTGTCCAAAAAATATTCATTTTTCTACATGGTTGACAACATAAAGATTGGAATGATTAACTACATGTAGGATAGCGTATGCAAGAAGCAGTGGAGGCGATTTTGGATGAAAATCATAGATCTTAAACCGAAATGAACATGAGTGCTGAATCAAGCCTTCAACCAGATGAAATTATAATGCGACCAGATAATGATTTAAAAATGTCCCCTTATATTCAGGAATTTCCTCCTGATCTTAAAAAAAAAGGAATTTGATGTCACTAGTACACATGAATGAAAATTTAAAATGCTCTGAGCGTTGTCTAATCAGCTTACTTTATACAGGACACTACAATATTTGAATCTACGATATAAATATTTATAAAATTTAATAGTAAACAACATCCGTGTGTAATCTGAAATTTGCGTACCATTGCACACATAGTGTTATACTAGCAAACTAAACATAACAATTCAGCTGCTTTCATCTCCAGTGTCTATCACAATTAATTGGATTAATGACCTGTCATCTGACTCCTATTGACCCAAACATGTGAAAAACTTGAACACATGTTCATTTCTCCAGTATTAATGCTCAGAAAAAAAACTATCAAAGGTTCAATTTACTTCAAACTCGATTTTCTTTGAAGCAAGTGTTGAATATAAATTTATGAGTGCAATTCCCGAACATCCCATCAGTGAAGTAAATGTTTGGACTATTCCATTATTGTTTTGTAGGGATGAGTTACTTCACACTTGGAGAAGCTCTTCATCGCTGTCATCACTATCATCATCTATATCAACTTCTCCATCAATGGAAGATCGTCGTTTTTTGATCAATGCTACCAAAATACCAATCAAAAATATCTGCAATTGAATGATAGTTTATTAATAATTGCAAATATGTTTATGAAAAACTTTTCAGAAATGTATTTTTATTTGCAGGAATTCCGCCGTTATAAATATTCACAAGCTATGCAAGGCACAGCCCTGTTAATTATCAAATTTAAGATATATAGTTTTGTTTATAGTAATATAGTTGGAATATAAATATGTCAGGAATATGATTATGATGAT